CCCGCATTCTATCTGCAAATGGTAGTTGTCGACACCCAACCGTTGCAAACGGTAGTTGTCGGCACCCAACCGTTGCAAATGGTAGTTGTCGGCACCCAACCGCTGCAAACGGTAGTTGTCGGCACCCAACCGTTGCAAACGGTAGTTGTCGGCACCCAACCGTTGCAGGCATTGACCGGTCTCTGTGTCGCAGTGTCATTTGCCAATCAGATACACAACACACCATGACAACTGTACACCTGGCGGGTGACCGCTGCACACCCGCTGTACACCTGGCGGGTGACCGCTGCACAGCCGATGTACACCTGGTACGTGACCGCTTCACAGCCGCAAGGAAGATGTGCGGGTTGTCCTAGTCAGGATGGAACTTCACCACCGTGGCATACGGTTTTTTTGCTGGTTAAGAATCGATAGTCAAGCCAGTGTGATTGCAAATTTCTCAGACGCGGTGGGGAGAGTCGTCGCGCACTTTGAACGACTGAACGTGTGCGATGGGGCTGGATCTGCATACTCACCGGTCTGCTCTTATCGTCTGTCAGTGTAGACTAGCAGATTCCCGTGCCTACGTCACGAAATATCCCCCGAGATTTTGTGAACGTGTACTAATAGAACGCTCCCTAACAAATATCGGCACTACGACCTCTCGTCGCCATTGCCAGCGCAGGAGAGTGTTCCAAACACACGGAGGATCTGGCAGCGCGTGCCCACTCTGATGCATGGCACGCCCGCTTCCTTGCTAACTGCAATACCCTCGTGGACTATCTTATGATCTATATTTGCATACGCACGCCAGGCTGTCAGCCGCAGTCGAAGTGCATCGTGCTTCAGTTGCAGCTAAGCTTGAACCCCGAGCCCAGCGAATACCAGGCTCAACTTCAGGCGCGATTCCAGTGCTCTTCAACAATATTCGAACAGATGCAATAGTACCTGGTGGATATTCTCATTCATCGCCAGACCAGCACGCGCACTGTACGGCGCAATCGCCCCAGGCTTTGGCGAATAGATTTGAATCGTGCACAGGGCTTAATGTAAGTAGTTGGTAGTAGCGCGAACTCGCGCGCATGCATAATACCCACCCGCGATGCTACGCGAGAGCACAGATTTACACACAAAAGCTCGTGAAGCATCTCCAATCGAAATTACCTGCCGAAGAGATGTACTGTATGTGCCAGTACGACGTCAAGCGTCTTGCTAGTAATTAGAGAGCCTCAGCACCCATGGGCGCCTACAGATTGTCGTCGGGCACCAAGGTCAGTAAATTGCGATCCGGGTACCATAAATTCGTAGGACGACACCTAGCAAGATATAACATCCTCTCCCGAAGTAAAAACGCATATCCAATAGCCCTCGAGCTGCAGGAACCAAGCTCACCGAGAGAGGTGCTACTAAAACAGGCAACTTCCAAAAAAGGAGACCGATGCTCTATACAATAGAAGATAGAAGATGCTCTATACAATAGAAGATACAATACAGTAGTCCCGTGTCCAGACGTTATAGGTCACGGGGTCCTTTCCAGAACGGGACGGGCAAAGAAACGCGCAGAGGATCCCTCTGTAACGTCTGGGGCACTTGGTAAAGACGGGTGGGGCTAAGGTCACGCCAACGCCAGAAAGACGTCTGTCCACCCCTCAAACGCCTTCACACGCCCTGGATCGGGCAAGTCTGTCAGTCACACTGGCGGTCACTATCCGGGAGCGGAATTATTTCTCGGGTCTGCTGCACGCGCTGCAGCCCCATTTTCACACAGACCATTGCGGGGCCATTCCGAAACACTGCTCTCAATTTTATGTATCATTTGGGCGGAAATTGCGTTGCAGGAGTCCCAAGGCGATCATGCTCGCGCCGCGTGCGCACACGCCGACGTGGGGCCACGGTGACCTTCGTGACTTGGGTGACCTTACCCCCACCCGCCTATACGAAGTGCGCCAGATGTTATAGGGGGGTCTTCTTCTCGTTCTCTGTCCCGTCCCGATTTGAAAGGTCCCCCTACAGCGGCTGGTGACGAGACTAACAAGAGAGATCAACGACCATTGTTTCGTAGCTATGGCAAGATATGCGAGTGCGTGATATAACGCTATGGAAGTATGGTTCTGCGCGTTGAAGCGCTACAGCATGAGGAACAGATATGCGCGTTGAAGCGCGACAGACACAAGACAGAAATATGCGATGCGGATACGACAGTGGCACGGCTACCGAGAGCTGGACTGGACGAATGGAGCCCGACGCTAGGGCGACTGACTCTCCATCCCACCCGAGGCCTTATCCTGCGACATAGGTCTAAGGTTGTCCTGATTCACATGCTCGTCAGTGGAAGTATGAGTATTGGGAGATAGTACATCTCGGACTTACCAGGGGGGCGAGATGCCTGCCGCGGCGGCTGCTGCCTCCTGACCGGGGGGGGCTCTGTGCCTTTGGTCTTCTTGCTCACGGGGGACTTGGAAGTGCTCGTGGACGCTGGGAACCCCATTCAATGATTAACGGCGTCAGTTGAAAACGAAGATGCTGCTTACTAGCCGTCGCGGAGCGGGGCCGCTTCTTGCTAGACTCTGCCTCGTCGATCTTGCTGCCACCGCTTTCGTCGACACTCATGGCATCATTTCCCGGCTGGGGGACTGATGCAGCGACTTCAGCAACGGCTCGCTCTAATAAAACCCCCACTGTCAGAAAGTTGCAATCGAGCGGAGGCATAGGATACTAGTTGGACGCTGGGAGGTGCAGTGCATGACATCACCCAGACAAGGTGCTCAGGATCTTTCTGAGCCCAGCGGGCGACCACCGGAGGCACGCCGTCAGCTGGGCGTGTCGCCAGCGGGTGACCGCCAGAGGCACGCCGTCAGCTGGGCGTGTCGCCAGCGGGTGACCGCCAGAGGCACGCCGTCAGCTGGGCGTGTCGCCAGCGGGTGACCGCCAGAGGCACGCCGTCAGCTGGGCGTGTCGCCAGCGGGTGACCGCCAGAGGCACGCCGTCAGCTGGGCGTGTCGCCAGCGGGTGACCGCCAGAGGCACGCCGTCA